CGAGCGCGTGTGACGTCACAATGTTAGTTTTTGCTCATTGTAGCATACAGAGATATAATAATTAGTACAGTGTTTTGAGTTTTTATCTAGTAAATTCTGTTGGCATTGTTAAATAATCAAAAGTTTTGTACCATTATGTACAAAGACTACAAAAACAACTCCTGAAAAAAATGTTTTTAAATGTTCCACAAGACGAAAAACGTCGAAAGAAATGGTTTCAAGCAGTGCATCGAGATTATTCAAAAACAAAATCATTTTTTTTTTTGTTGTGAAGATCATTTCGTTGTAAGTTTTCATAATAGTATTGTTATTAATTATTATTTATCTAAGTGTATAAATCGAATAAGTATAGTTCAATAATTAATTTTTTTTACCTGGGCTCCAAATCATAACCTTTAGAATCGTAGCATTAAAAAATTTTAATTGATAATTCAAAGCGATTAAATAGTAAATCTATATATATGTTTGTCTAATAATTGGACTTCAATTAATAGATATTTTCATAATTTTATAACATTCTAGGTTCTGTATCAGACTACATTTAAATTTTTAAAGTACATATATGTTATTTTGGTTTTTTTATAATGTTATAATAACATTTTATTAATAATGATTTAATGAAATAATTATTAATTATATTTAATAGAGAATAAATACTAATTTTCATTTAGAATAGTATTTTTTGACAGACTTACCTTGATGTCTTAGCACCTCGAACTTAGAAGGGGAGTGGGGGGGCAAGGCTCCCTAAGCCCTCCAACAGAGGAGACATGGATACGTCCTAATCCATGGATATAGAAATACTTCAAGCGAACGTAAACCACTGCGCCAGGGCCCAGGATCTCTTTGTCCAGACCATGGCGGAGTGGCAAACACAGATCGCAGTGGTCGCTGAGCCATACGTCGTGCCGCCCCGGGACGACTGGGTTGGGGATACGGAGGGACTAGTGGCCATCGTCGCCTCGCGGGTCAACGGAGCCCCTCCTCTGATATTTACAGCCAGGGGCCGAGGTTACGTGATGGTTAGCGTGGGTGGCACTGCAGTAGTGGGGGTGTACTGCTCCCCTAACGAGGGCTTTACTGCTTTTCAGCAAGTCCTCGTTGAGGTGGGAGCTCTAGTCAACAGAGTGCACCCTTGCCCCGTGCTAGTCGCCGGGGATTTCAACGCCAAATCTCGAGCGTGGGGATCTGCGGTGACGAACGCGCGGGGAAATTTACTGGAGGAGTGGGCTATAAGCCTCGGTTTGGAGGTCCTCAACAGGGGAAGCGAGTTGACGTGTGTTCGTCACAATGGGGGGTCGGTGGTTGACGTCACATTCGCCTCTGCCCCCCTGGCGCGCCGTATTGCAGATTGGGCAGTGGTGGTTGACGCGGAAACCCTGTCGGATCACCGCTATATCCGATTCAGGGTGGCCACGTCTTCGACGTCACAAGTCGGAGCTTCCCCTACTGGAGATGGAAGAAAATGGGTGCTGGGAAAACTGGACATTTCCCTGGCCAAAGAAGCGGCCATCGTGGAAGAGTGGTCCAGGGGGTTATCGTCCGACAACCTGGATCACGAAGTTGACGTGTTCTGTGGTGCGCTGGTCCGCATATGCGAAGCCTCGATGCCGAAAGCGCGTCCCGTCACCCCACGGCACCGGGTGTACTGGTGGCGAGACGAACTCCGCGATTTGCGTCGAGCGTGTGTCTCCGCCCGCCGTCGCCATGCCCGCGCCAGGCGTAGGAGTGTACGGGACGTTCAGAGAGAGGACGTCCTATACGAGGAGTACCGGGCTGCACGCAAGGCTCTGCAGATGGGGATCAGCGCTGCCAAGGAGGCGGCCTGGAACGAGTGGCTAGAGTCACTGGATCGGGATCCGTGGGGGCGGCCGTATAAGGTCATCAGGGCCAAATCCAGGCCTTGGACCCAGCCGATCACGACCACTCTTCAGCCACAGTTCGTGGAGGAGGTGGTGGAGGCGTTGTTTCCTCGAAGGGAGCCTTGGACGCCTCCAGCTATGGCTGATAACTCGCCAAACGAGTCCGGTAGTCCGGCGGTGTCCGAGGAGGAACTGTGTCGTGCGCGTGCAAAGCTGCGGGGCAAGAGGACCACCCCGGGCTTGGACGGAGTTCCCGGTCGGGTGGTGAACATAGCGTCCGAGGCAATGGAGGCATGGATGCGGGAGGTGTTCTCCATGTGCCTGGACCGAGGCCGGTTTCCGGCTTGTTGGAAGGTGGGGAAACTGGTCCTACTACGGAAACCAGGCCGGGACGAGGGCCTGCCGTCGGCATATCGGCCGATTGTGCTCCTGGACGAGGCGGGTAAGCTCTTTGAGCGAGTGCTCGCGGCTCGTCTCGTCCAGTCGATGAGCAGAAGTCTGCACGAGACCCAGTTCGGCTTCAGAGAGGGCCGGTCGACGGTCGACGCAATCCTGCGTGTGAGATCGCTCGCTGAGGAGGCTGTGTCTCAGGGTGGGGTGTTGCTAGCGGTATCGCTAGACATCTCCAACGCCTTCAACACCCTTCCTTGGGAGACAATACTTGCAGGCCTGAGGTGGCACGGGGTGCCCGAATACCTGCAGGTAATGGTGGCGGACTATTTTGTGGGCCGCAAAATAGTAGTATACCCCACGCAGGGGGGCCGTTGGGTCTATAAGACGATGTCGTGTGGTGTTCCACAGGGGTCTGTCCTAGGCCCCCTCTTGTGGAACATCGGCTACGACTGGGTGTTACGGGGAGCTAATGTTCCCGGTGTCTGCGTGACTTGTTACGCAGACGACACCCTGGTCACGGCTTACGGTTCCTCCTATCGAGAGGCGTCAATCGTCGCAACAGCGGGTGTGGCTCTAGTCGTTCGACGGATTCGTGCTCTGGGATTGGAGGTGGCTCTCGACAAGTGCGAGGCCATCTCCTTCCACGGTCCGCGGAGGGGACCGCCGAGGGGAGCGAGTATTGTGGTCGGAGGAACGGTTATCGCTGTTCAGCCCTGGTTGAAGTACCTAGGGCTGGTCCTCGACAGTCGATGGACGTTCGGCGAGCATTTCCGGCGACTGGAACCCAAATTAGTCGCGGCGGCTGGCGCGTTGGGGCGCCTGCTTCCGAACGTCGGTGGTCCCAGTGTGGCATGTCGTAGACTCTACACTGGGGTCGTTAGATCAATGGCACTGTACGGTGCGCCTGTATGGGCCCGGTCTCTCGGCCCACGAACGATAGCCTACCTCCGCCGTCCGCAGCGTATCTTGGCGCGACGGGTGGCACGGGCGTACCGCACAGTATCTTTTGAGGGGGCCTGCGTGCTGGCCAGCACGCCACCGTGGTACCTGGAGGCCGATGCGTTGTCGGCTGTCTATCACCGGCGCGCGGAGGCTCGCAGCCGTGACGGAGGAGTTGCGTCCGGGACGGTCGCCGAATGGAGAAGGGATGCGGCGGCCAACGTCCTGCGTAGATGGGGTGAGCGACTGGCTTCTCCGACGGCCAGTTATGAACTGGCCACCGCTGTCAGGCCTGTTCTTTGCGAGTGGGTGGGTCGCACGTTTGGCCCACTGACCTACCGCCTGTCACAGTTGCTGTCGGGACATGGATGTTTCGGCAGGTATCTGTGGCGGGTGGTGGGCAGGGAAGAAAGCCCCGCCTGCCATCACTGCGGGGGTGGCGTGGAGGACTCGGCGCAGCATACTCGCGAGTCATGCCCAGCGTGGGACAGCCTTCGCGCTGCTTTGACTACGGTCATAGGGAGGGACCTCTCGTTGCCGGCTATAATCTCGGCTATGGTCGGCAGCGAGGAGGCATGGGAGGCGGTGGCCGCTTTCGCCGAAGCGGTCATCAGCGCGAAGGAGGCAGCGGAGCGGGCCAGGGAGAGCAACCTGGAGGCCCCTGCCCTCCGTCGTCGGCGAATTGGTCGCCGGCGCCGAGCCTATCTGGCCTCTTTACAGCCATAGGTTAAGCGCCGGGCGACGTGATCCTGGGTGGCAGACGGGGACTTCTGTCGCCCGCTGGCAGGATCAGTGCGGTGCTAGCCCCTCTTGTTCCGGGGGCGGCTCGCGGTGGTGGTTTGTGGGGGGATTTGTCCCCCCTAGTTCGAGGTCCGGAGTGGACAAGCGCCGGCAGGGTCGCGAGGCAAGCTTTTGGTATACCGTGGCCCTGCCTAGGTGGCGTGGATGAGGAACACCCAGGGGTTTTAGTGGGTCGAAACCCCACATAACCCGGTCAAGTCCCCGCTCGGCCGGGTATCTGTGAACAGATTTCCCCTGGGAAAACAAAAAAAAAAAAAAAGCACCTCGAACTTCAGCAAAATTAAACCGCACTTTTTAAAAAATTAGTTATCATAAAAATATATTAACATCAGGAATATTATCCGATTTTGCTTTTATAAATCCTTTATCACACATAGTTAGTGGAAATAAACTTTTCAAATCGTTTTTCACTAATAAATTTGAGATATTTTTATCAAGTTAAAGATAATAGCCATAAACACTGTACTATTATGAAATTGCTTTAACATTATGACGTCACAAGTATGCTGACCAATCATGGCGCGTTTACAGTCACGTGATATATTTTTGAATTTTATCAATTTTTAATTGTTTATAATTAATTTAAAAAATATATTTTAAGTTTTTTGCATTAAAAATCCAATATAATTAATAATAAAGTTTTAAAATACATAAAAAAAATCAATACTTTTTTTTTTTCAAAAACCCAATTGCTGCTTGCATGCACGGAGACTTTTTAAAACTTTTTTTTTACTTTCACACGATTATGTATCAAATGTTTTTAATTGAATTTGTTGGCGTATAGAGCATATAGATCCTAGAATTGTACTTGTTTTATCCATATAAGTATTATTATTATTTTGCTCCAAATGCGATTTTATTACTAAAAGTCGAACCATTTTCTAAAATGTTTAATTACTTAGATGTCTATAACTTGAAAGGTTGCGTTGCATCTTATTTTTCTAAAACAATGCGTTATTTTGAAATGATTGAATGGTTAATTTATGATATATATTTTTATTTCAGTAAATGACAAGGCTGTTAGCGACGGTGAAAAGGGTTGTGAGAGAGCTGCTTTAATATACAAATGTTCTATTGAACGAGCACCTCAGGTAACTTAGGATGTAAAAATATTGCCATAAACTTGGTATAATCTTCTATCTTCTATATATATAAAAATGGATTGCTGTTCCTTAGTCTCGCTAAAACTCGAGAACGGCTGAACCGATTTGGCTAATTTTAGTCTTGAAATACTCCTGGAAGTCCAGGGAAGGTTTAAAAGGTGAGAAAAATTGGAATTATTGCCGGGAAAACCCTAAAAACAGCCGTTTCCTATTTCCCATACAAATGATTTTTATTAATATGTCAATCATTCTGTTCGATTGAAACAGTGGAAATTTAATAAATACCAATACCGGGTTATTGAAGACGGAATAGAGTTTGCCCGGTCAGCTATACCTATATTACTAATGACGAAATTAACGCGGACGAAGTCGCGGGCAAAAACTAGTAAACAATAATTTTTTAGTTTGGATTTCATATTCATTCTTAAGTAATAATTACCACACACAACATTTTTAGGACCCTTTGTTTATAAGATACATAAAGCTAAAATCTTACTTTACAATTGTACTAAAATTATTACACTATGTAAATACGAGTACTGAAATTTCGCCACAGACATTTATATCAGATTAATCATACTATTAATAGGTTTGTTAATGTAAAAAAATCGTTTATAAAGATTATTTAAATTCTTATTCGAAAACATTTTTTTAAACTTTTATGTTATTATTTTAATAAATAGGGAAAAATGTATTAATCTACTTTTGAATGTTCGGAAAACTGACAACTGTTTTTATTTTTTGTAAATAATAAACCTTTTTCTCTTTTCAGTTTGGCTTCGTTTGAACATCGTATCGATGTAATCACTAATCAAATATTACTAAATTGTTATTAATAAACATAATTTCATTTCTATATCAAACTTCTGTATTGTTTGGAATTTGTCAATAAAAAAGTACGTTTTGTATTAGTATAAGAATGTAAATTCAACTAAATATTTGAGGCATTGTTATTTAGTAATTATTTATTGAAGTTGAAATCTGTAATGTATATTATATTGTATCTAATCAAGATAAATAAAAAGTATAGAATTAAACGAAGTGTTTGATTATTCCAAAGTTGAAACATGTCTGAAATTTATAAAATAATTTCTCCTTATATTTTATCTACACATAAATTAAATGACAACAACAAAATGGTTTGTAAAAATACACAAAAATAATTATGTAATATAGATATTTTTATAACAAATAATGTTTATAATAAAGTAAAGAAATATAATATAAGAAATATACATATATAAAGTAAAGAAGTTTTTGATGTTTGTTGAAATAACCACCAAGAATAAAATTTATGTATAATTTATGTCTTTATTTTAGAAAGTAAGGAACCCTTTTTATTTTTTTTGGATTTACTCCTGCTTTACTAAAAGTTACAGGTTGTTACTATGTATGTATATATATTAAAGTTACAAATGAATGTTGTGTAAAATATTGTCTTGTTTACAAGATAATAGGCTAAGTGGGGTATATTTTTAAATATTGAGGCCGTGGCTGATTGTTTATGTCGTGTTTGTATTATTTACAATAAAAGAAAATCACAAGAGAAATGTTTTAAGCATTAATATTTTATAATTGAGAAGTTACAGAGAAAATTTTTCTGTGGCTAAAGATTAATATGTGTGATAAAATCTTTGGTAGCTAAAATTTGGCTGGGAGTAACGCATTCACCCCTTCGTTTACTTTTCTGTCTATCATTATTAAGTCAAATATTGGTCTTCGAGTTTATTCATAGCTATTAGCCGAGGTGAACTCTTGGAACTAAAACATGTTACAGCAAAGTTATTACTCGAATACCTCATAAGTTGTTTAATAATTACTGGAGTTTACTTACGCTTCTATCAATTTATGACTTTTGATATTCCGTATCTTGGTTAGGGGCTTCTTTGTATAAAGACTTTTAAAATTATTAACACTTAATGTGGAGAAATAATTTTGTAGACATGATTAATATTAAGGTTGTCAATCTTGTAATAGTCTTATGGGTCTTAGTCCCTAACTATTTGTGACCTTTTTAATCAGTTCTAATATATCTCTCTAGTTTATACTGATGTGCTTTGGAATATATCTTGTTTTAATGTTAATTGTATTTTTATCTTCTGTGAATTATAAACTCTGTTCTACAACTTACATATAAAATGAATGCGTTTAATCATGTTTTAGTTCATATAAGTTTAATAAATATATACGAAACTTTTACAAGGATATAAACTGACACCTATGAGATGGGTTAGATGTCTCAGTTGGTTAGAAGTTCCGTTAACATTTCTTAGGTCATAGGCTCAAGTCCCTGGTGTCAAGTGATTTTTCATATTTCCTATTAAATGGTTAGACATTAATTAATTTGTATGAACCTTACTATTGCTATGTTAGTTCAAACATTGAATGTAGCCTCTCTTCCGTTGTTCTAAAATGTATAGTAAAGTTTAATAAATTACAATAGGCTAATAGGTGGTTGCCAGACTTGCAAGATTCTTGCTACAAGACCAAGAAAGGGCATATTGGCTCTCGACCAAGAACAAGATAGGCTAAATCTTTACTTGTCCTTGCATTGGGGCAACACTTGGGAACAATAAATTACAGCAGTTCTTTCTTGACATTCTTTATGTGACAGGGCTACACTCTTGTTCAAATATATTGTGGAAAATACACCGACGGTATTTGCAAGAATACTTGTAAATTGTAAATTGCTGAATTTTACTGATTGTAATAACTTTTTTATGGTTATCTATCTAATAGTGTACGGCTACTTCATATTTCATTCCCTAACTTGGGTATTTTTTAAATAACAATAATGAATACATATTATTACCGAACCAATACATTGTGTTGGTGCTATGAAATGCCGTATTAATAGTTAGATATAGTTTATGTTGAAAAAGGAGTATTCCTGGATATTTAAGGAGAAACCAAAAATATAGGGTACATAAAAATACACAAATATATACAGTTACTAAGACATTCCAACTTTCCATTTATACATAACTATTGTTAGACAACCTGGTGACCTTATGTTTTTTTTAGTAATGAAAAAGCTACTTCAAAGAAAACCCTTTTGACAATCTCGAAATCTAAAGTATATACAGCGTCTTAATGCCTCTGTAAATCATTAATTAATCTTATTACCATGTCGATCTCTTAGTTTTGGAGCAATATAATTAGGGATTGTACATATTTGCCTTTCTTTGACATATGTACCAGAAGTGTTGAAAGTAAATGACTGCAATTACACGGTCCGAGTGTTTTAACAATGATATCAGTTTTAATACGAGTTCCGGTCTCCTATCGCAGAAGCCCTTTCATAAATATATAAAAAATACGTCAAGTTTGAGTATGAACTAAATTGGGTGGGTTCTTTACCAATGCTAAGTTTGTTTTTATTTGAAAAATAATATTATGTAATAAATTGTCTTTTAAATTACATGTTGAAAGCTTCAAATATCTTAGAATTTGTATATAACGTATTTACCTGCTACGATAAATAAAACTAAGCCAAGTTGTACATGAAATACTTAAATAAATTATCAATCTTGTTAATTAAACAAGTTTAGCTACCTTTTAAAGACTGGCATCATCATAAATCTTGCACTGATGTTTTGATATCATATTCATAAAATATGGCTTACTTGGATTCTTCGTAGTTAAGATCCCATCAGAATTACTGAGGTCAGATAATGTCAATAATATTTTAAGAGCCTTCAGAGTAACTAGTGTCTTTTTATTTGTTTAAATAACGCTAAATTTTTAAACTTTATTCTTTATGAAAGTGTTAATGGAAAAATGACTAGAGCTTCTCTAATTCTCTTAAGTCATCTTTAAAATACAATTATGTAGTTCTAGATGGTATCTTCATATAAAATGTTTAAATCTTTTGCTGTCGAATAGGTAATCTTTGAATAGTTTCCCTTACTGCTTTGAGTGTCTTTTACATACCAATACTATTTAGAAGTCTAGATCTTTTTCATCACAAACTAAAGAGATTTCATTCGCAAAAATAAGAAATACGATGAACTACCTCCAGATTACAAATTTAAAATTAATATTTTTGTTTACTTTTAATTGTTAGAATATTTATGTATAAACCTAGTTTATATGTGGTATGGACACACTTTCAAATAAAACCTGAGCTTAAAAACATAGTACTTTAGGGATTTTTTGTTGTAATAATAAATAAGAGAAATTTTTAAGGGGTTCGTCCCGCACACTAAGGAACCCTATTAAATTTTTGTAGCAAGCTAATGACATGTATTCATATAAAATTATATAGTAACAATGAAGCTTTTGAAAAATAATTTTAAAACGTCCAATTAAATGGTTAAAAATTTTAGTTTACAGATAACTTTAATTCAGGGAACCCATTAATTATATTTGATAAAAACAATATTTAAGTAAATTAAATTGCATATAAATTCACAAACACGGTTTTCATTAAACATTGTTTTCTGTAATACTTCAAGATGCGTATTATATGTGTTGTTTTTGTTTTGTCATTCGGATATGTTTATGTGAGTAATAAAATCACACTTATTATTATGATTATTATTTCTATGTATAAAATCTTAATTTCCTCTTAAATAGGGTTTGACAGATGAAGAAATAAAAAAAGAGTTTATCAAGGAAATAATGACGTGCACTAAAGATATTTCAGTTGATATGTTGGATCTCATGGAGTTGGAACAACTTAAAGTGCCAACAAAAACTAACGTGAAATGTGTTCTCGCCTGTGCTTACAGGAGACTTGGCACGGTGAGTTGTATGATCTACTTAAACTTTGTCATACTCACTTAATACTAACTCGTAGCCGTAATGTTATTTAGTGAGCATTAATACGATTCCGACAGAAATATTTTATTTCATTCACTAAATTAATATTTGGTTGAGCTTTTCAAAGAACATTAACATGAAACAACAGCGTATTTTGTAACTTTTAAAGTAAAAGTATTATATATTTTTGTTTTTATAAATCATGTACGAACACTAAGTAAAGGGTGTTTTTTTTAGAGGTATACAACTTTAAGTTGCCAATACTTTTTTAACTGGCAGTAATTTTGATAGCTGTCCAGTGATTTGTGTTTAATTTGGTTTGGCAATTCATCATGAATAGACTAACGTCTGAACATCGCCTCCAAATTGTGCAAATTTATTTTGAAAATCATGGCTCTGTTCGAGAAACGTATCGCGCACTACGTCCATTTTAAGGTCCACATAATCGTCCATCAAAATAATTAATTTAATTAACAATGGATCGTTTACTTTAAATGGTAATACGCATCCACAGAGATGGCCTACAGTGCGTACAGAAGAAGTTATTTCTGCTGTAGAGTGTAGCGTAGAAGAAGACGCGAATCAGTCTATCCGCCGAATAATTGGTCCGTACTTCTTTAGAAACGATGCTGGCCAGAACGTTACAGTAAATGGTGACCGTTACAGAGCGATAATTAGTGGCTATTTCGTTCATCAATTAAACAACCATAATGTTCAGGAGTTCTGGTTTCAACAAGACGTTGAAACATGTCATACAGCTCGTGCCACAATTGATTTATTAAGAGAAACATTTGGTAACCGCATAATTTCATGTTTCGGACCCGTGAATTGGCCCCCAAGATCATGCGATTTAACGCCGGTTGATTATTTTCTGTGGGGATATGTAAAGTCGTCAGTCTACGCTGATAAGCCCGAACCCGTTGATCACTTAGAGGATAATATTCGTCGCTCTATTGCCGATATACAGTCACGAATGTTGGAAAAAGTCGTTGAAAATTGGACCTCCAGATTAAACTACGTACGAGCCAGTCGTGGAGGTCATATGCCTGAAATCTTATATTAATTATAATGAAAGAATATTATCTTTTCAAAATATTATATTTCATATCAATAAAAGAAATCGTTTTTGTTTTATTTTATTTCAAAGTTCTATACCTCTAGAAAAAACACCCTTTACTATGTTTGAAATATTCAGATTAAACGGAGATTTCTTTATACCTTAATGCTTTCTTGTGTCAAACGGTGTGCTTTTGTGTTGTTAAACCAAAAATATAATTCCAGATGAATAAAGAAGGCAAATACGATATTAAGGAAGCTTATAAAATTGCTGAAACTGCAATGAAAGGAGATGATAAGAGAATTGAGAACGGAAAGAAATTGGCAGATATATGCAGCAAAGGTAACTATTTCTTATCATTGCATTATAAAAATTTAATATGAAATAATTTTTACACTTCATATATTATAATTAATTGATATTTTCTTTATTTTAGTTAACGAAGCAGATGTAAGTGACGGCACTAAGGGATGTGAGAGGGCTGCTCTCTTGTTCAAATGTGTTGTGGGAAATGCACCGAAGGTAAATATTATTATAATTACATATATGTACTACATTCTAAGGAAGTGATTAATTTTTATTATAGTGTTCTACTGACTGCGTTTTGGAAGTGTACCTAAATGAAATATACGTTTTTGTGATATAACAAAGAAGTATTACAAATGATACTTAATTGTATGATTTTCTTTATACAATTAACTATCATTATAATCAAATGCCTTGTCTAGAATTGTTTCATTTTATCGACTGTTACTTGATGTTAACTAGAAACTAATTTAATCTTTTTTTTTCAGCTTGGATTCAAAGTCTAAAGAGGTTGTATAAAATCGATAAAAAAGTTATTAAATAAATTTGAGCAAAATGTTTGTTTAATTTTTTTTCTGTTTATTATAATTAAAAACGATTTCGGAGAAGTTTAAATTGTTTACTACCATTTTTGTGTATGTTATCCATTTAATAAGTTTTCTTATAATTTCATTACGAAATTAATTATTTGTCAAATTAATTATGAACCGACATAATTGTACATACACCACTAATACGATTAGATTTGAAAATTTTTATCGATTCCTTGACTCGTTTCAATATCTATCTAATAACTCATGCGCTTTAGAAACCGTTCGTCCGTCCGATTCTTAATAGTTTTTTACCTTTAAAGAGAAAGAGAGATACATCCTAAATTCCACAGTACATCTTTATATTGTTTTTATAATTACTTAACAGTTTCACCTTTTTTGTATGTGGATTCATAAACCAAAAATATAGTCAAAAACTATTACTGTAGTATTTCTAAGTCAAACAGCGACATCTAGTAGATGTATGAATAACTTTGTCAAATAATTTTAAAACACACATCATTGATAAATATTGCTAGCGTAATTCAATAGATGGCATTAGTAGTATCAACGTTAAGTTGTGTTGGATGTATTGTAGTGTAATTTAAGTAAAAAATCTTTATAAATCCGCCATTGGCAAGTAATTTTTTTAATTTATTTATTTTATAAATAATAATATATGAAATGGATGTTAACATAATAACATAATTTTCCATATAATTTTGAACTACGGCTGAGCAGTGAAATATGACTTGAAAGTTGAAAAATTATAGATATATGCATAGTCTTATTTTAAAATTTAATAGACCGTATCATTAAACGTAATCAGATGAATGATTCAGACATACATATTTTACCAGCCTCTCACCCTTCGCTGCGCACTCGCAGCAAGCAAACAAAACTCGTCAACTTCATTCTAATCAGTCGACTTGTTTGTGTCTAACTTCACTCTTGTAATTCCGATCAGACTCATTGATGACGTTTCGTACCAACAATTGACGGTTGGCTTGTTTTGTCAATATCAAGCGAATAAATGTTTGTGTATTTCTTGTGTAGTGCTTTAAGAAATATTAAATATCTTTAATATATCATGTGTAATTAGTTGTTGTTTATGCCGAAGTGAATGCCAGTGATTGTTTCCATACATTGTTTATAACAGACGACGTGATCTTGAATCACCGGTAAGTAATTAAAGAATCTTGTTTTTATTTAAACATATGGAGAACAAGTAATAAGGGTGGTATTGCAGGTAATTTTATGAGAGGTCACAATATTAAAAGTTTTTTATTAATTTATTCAGATACAAAATTATTAAGATATATTTTACAGTTAGTTCAGTTACTTTTTAATTTAATCGGAACCGGTATCATATCATCGTCTTCAGTATTCAATAGAGCGTTCATGTTTATAGGAGAGTGTGTCGTGGGATTTATCTTAGACAATAAACGTGATTTGGAATTGTAATTCTTTCTTATATACTTTGCTTTGAACCTCTTACAGGGCTTATTACGAGCGTCTGTCGATTTGTGTTCTTTATGATTTGGAATTCTCCAATTCTCTTCACTTAAATCAGCTTCTAATACTTCTTCTGTGTCTCTTCTCTTTCGTTTTCCTGTAGCGACTCCAAGTTGCAAAAGAATTGGATTGCTTACTAAAGCGGCTGCTGCTCCAAGAAGTGCAATTCCAGCTAAAGGTAAAAGTACGGCTTTCGCCGCCAAAGCCTGTGAAGAACGCATTCAAACATTTAAAAATTGCGCTATGGAAAATAAATCAATTTTAGCTAAGAACTAGGATTTACTTAGAAACTAAAAGTTATGTTTGGTTTTAAGTGTAAATCGACGTGTGCTAAGTTAGTTTGGTGTATCGTGGACTCATTGTGAATTTAGAAATTTAGAATCGTTACAATGAGTTAATTTAAAGAATTAAAGCGTGTCAGCTTGATGACACAGTAATCGAAATTATTGACGACCAATTAAGACAATGTTTATTAAATAAAGGTTTATACTGATAACATAGAAAGAAAACTTTATCGATTCGAGCTTTTTCCGAACTGCGATTTTTGGAATATAAATTAGACGTTTTTCCAATCAATATATCGTGCCTTGATACGAGTTGAAAACATAATTGTAAAAGATGAATAAAATAAATATTAAATTCATATTAATATGCGGAAATTCAGTAATAAATCCAGGAATTGTTCTAAAATTTGTGATTTTCTTACACGAACGTAATATTTATGTAATTGTATGAAGGTTTTATTACGTGATTGTTTTTATAGTGATATCCAAAGTCGTAATGGCCGTCGTGATGGCCTCCGTGATAGTCGTGTATATGGTGACCGATATGATGGTTTCCATGGTGATGATCCACTTCTGGTATGTGGTAATCGTAAGTGACTTGAGGATATTCCTCATAATCATGGGGAACGTAGCCTGAAAACAGAATTAAATTCATATCATGTCTAACAGATACGAAGTCTTCGTGAATTTTAATGTAAACATATGTTTTACGGGATACTAGAAACATATTTAATTCTCATATCATCTTGTATCTAGTCGTGTTCTTTACTAGTCCGTTTGTTTTAGTGAGCTTGAAAGATTAATTTACTCTTAATTTTTTAATTTTTTCTTTAAAAACAATTCAACAAAACAGTTGTAAAAATCAAGTTTTATTGTATTCTGTTCTTCGACAACGGGAGTAAATAAATCTAAACAATCGAATACTTTCTTGATGACGAATGAATAGAATTATTACCTGGATGTTCTCTGTTAATAAGACCGCGACTGTGACTCGAGCCAGATAACTTGCTATCCGGAACATCCTTAAAAAATAATTGTTCTAATTAATTTTTTTTATTCTAACGTATATAAATATATCCTTGTTGTCATTCAAATGCTGTAACTAAAGTTTTTGACCCAACACAACCAAGCTTTAAAATCTTATATATAAACCTAGAGGTTGTAAATGCCTTAATTCATTTAAGTCTTATTTTCGCTTCAAGATTTTTTCCGACTAAAAGCAATTAAATCCAATTAAAATGTCCCTTCGCACGCTTCGGTGCCTGTCGTCTGGCCGCTGCCCTCTTTTCACACGCCTTAATACATCTTCAATTCAATAAAAGTTCTAGGTTTATATGCTTTTATTTAATGGTAGCTGTTTACTTCAATTTCGTCTACGAAATAGCTGGCCTAGACATCTGGGATATGTGATATTCCTGACTTAAGTTTTATATAAACCTTTTTGTTAGCTAAGCCTATCCCTAAATCTATACTTATATTTATGACATAAAAAATAATATTCATAAAATATAAATAAATTAAAAATATATATAAGTTGACTCGTTTAGCAGGTATTAGCTTAGTTCCTAAAAAAAGTATATGTTTTATCATAAAAACGTTATTATATTTTCAATTATCCGCCCAATATTTCCTGGTATAAATGACTCAGATCGATGTATTAAGAGGATAAAACACTCGAAATTATAAAAAAGCAATCAAAACAGCATACAGGTTGGGATATTCCTATGAAAAGGCAATTTAGTGTATTTTTATTACATTGAACGATCTCATACCTTAATACAGTAAAATGTAACATAGCGGTCACGGGAAAAAGTTACCGACTATGCGATGGAAACGAAAAGTTACTTAAAAGTTCCAACAATGGTGTGCAATTCAATTAATTATTCTGGGAATATTATCATTTAATGATATAAAAATAATGTAAATTGCTTTAGCTACTGACTCATGTTTCCGCTGCGACAAGTTATCAAGAATGTGGGGCGAACTAGTGATATTCTCTAGAGCCTGAGCCTGTTTCAACATTTTATATTCTATGACTGACGATTGATTTATAGAATAGAAGCAGATATGCTAATTACGATAGTATTAAAGAAACGAACACGTTGAATAAATAGAGTTTCATCATTATATTGTCCCTATTAGAAATTGCATTGATATTTATTTGGGTTATAGTGGTTCAGTTGCTAGTAGTAGTAGTAAGTAGTTTCAGGACTTTATAAAGTAATATATAAATAATAACCATATATAGAAGTTAAAGATTTTTAGAGGAAACGAATTAAAAGTTGTGATATTACGTATAAGGAATGGAATTTGTAAGCAGTTGATTGCTACTAGAAATTAAAAGGTACCTTAAAACGTATGGGATTAAATGGAGTGTCAGCATAATGCTTTGGATCCTCTTTATGCAGCGTTTTTATATTAACGGAACTCTGAAACAATGTACAATCACGTTTCTGTAAAAATTATATGAAACACGATAATGTCCTAAGAGTTTTGCATAATACTTACAATATTATCCTCTTTCAAAGAAAATTCCCTGATGTGCTCGTTGAAATTGGAATTTGTAATGGGATTACATTTTGCGAGATTCTTTCTCAGTAATATAAGAATTCCGTATATCATGAACAAGTTATACGAAGATCGAAGGGACCGCAGCCACATCATGTAAATACTGACTTAAAAGACGCACAGCAAATTTCGTTTGGTGCTCATGTTACATTAAAAGAGTAAAGGCTGAAACGTTATACTTTATAAAAATTGCGTTTGAAGAGGGGCGGTTCAGATGATTGTTTGACAGGCGGTGAAACAATGGACTCCAACATATAGTCATGCCCTGTTGAATTCGTTGCGTTGTATTTTCATTGTTTCTAATCATAATGATGGTCATATTGCAAATTGTTATATGCCCGATGCACATAGGCAGATTGTCAAATCGTCTCAGAGGCCTAGTTGAACTCTTGCAAATTGATTACATGATGGAGGTCGGGAAATCATGAAGAAAACAAATTAGTAGTTAGTTTTATGCAATCGACTCAACGGAAAGAAAGTGTGTCCGCGTCGCAGAACGCCATACTGCTTGATTTTTTATATTAAACTGTTTCTGTTTGACTTAAGGTTCATTTTACTTTACGTTAAATAGCTTGGTTAACTTCGTTATAACTAATATAGCTAAATAGGTATGTCTCCTGTACGTGTAATGGTCTCGTATAATGTAAACAATGGTCTTGTTTTCTGCAATTGTTTTTTTTCGTTACATCATATATTATGTATAATGGATAGCCAGAGTAATTTAATATAAAAGAAAATTAGATAAATAGAAATTATAGTGGTTTATAATTTATTCGGAACAAAAATTTTGCGTCACAAGTGTACGTCGTTATAACTGGTATATTGTTTCTTTAAATTAGAAGTGTTTTAATAGGAAATACTATTCATATTATTCAAACAGTATATAATACTTGTATAAAATACAAAGTTGAAATTAAATCCTATTAGTATAATATTCATAATTGAGTAACAGTTCATACATATTAAAATATTAGCAGAAATTTTAATTAAAAATTGATAATTTTATAACTTATTTAAGGTTGAATTTGGTAGTACTAAATTGGGATAGTTATTCCCCATTTTATATAACGGAGCGTAAAACATATAGGTTCTATTTTATTAGTTTAAATAATTTATTTTGTGGCAACCAGATTTACGATAGGTAACCGATATATCAGGAAGTCGCTAATAAAATTCCATTTACAAAGATATAAAGTAGCTGAATTTTTATGACTTATAAACTATTCTTAAATTACATACATGTAGATATATCTGATGTTATAAAATACATAGAAAGAAAAAAGGCAATGTCCACAAAAATTAGTATTATTAAAAAATAAGGTTCATAAGTATTAAAATAATTATTCAACATAGTCTTTAAAAATATAATAAAGTACTTTATTTATACACAATATGTAATAAAATATATTTTTATGTTTAGTTCTTCTAGATACTTTTGTTCTCCTGTGTTCGTATTTTAAACCGCATTCGATCACTCTTATTTTACGATCTAAATTCTTTATTCGCAAGGGTGGAGAGTATTTGTAAAAGAAATGAGAAGTAGAAATTAGGAAGGAGAATAAATGATGTTGTATATACATATGCAGGGTGACTGGTGAATTACTATCGATACTTGAGGACGTGATATTAGACGATCATATATGACAAAATAAAAATTAATATAACATAAATATTAATAAACTTCTAAGTAAAGTTAACCAAAAGTTATGTAATTAATTACGCATCGTGTGAACACCCTACAGATTAGGTATACACACACACACACACACGCGCGCGGCGGCGTGTTGTTTTATCAGCACGCCGCCGCGCGCGTTCACACTTGGAACACTTGGAACGTGTCCACACTTTATTTATTTATACGGAAATTTGGTCAAAAATTAAGTGCCTATTTTTTTACATAATTCGAATGAGAATCATGTACCGAGTATTCTCCTTAAATATTGATAGTAATTCACCAGTCACCCTGTATATGTAGATACACATATTCAACAGTGGTTGCCCATAGTCGCGAGCAGAAACACACTTATTACTCGATATACTTTCTTTTATTATTATCTTTAACTCTTAACAATTTACGATCCGGTCATTGACCTTAAAGCTAGTCAACTATTGTAATATCCAAATGGCTATTAATTTGACTATCAAATTGAGTACGCTCAGGTAAAGTCCTAAGCCTGGGTTACAATTAAATGCCTGGGACTGATAGTTTTTAATCTATCTGTGAAAGCTTCCGTGAGAGATTATTTTGGTATTGAACTAATTTAATTTTATTATACATGTTTTATATTTAATGTAAAATTATTCGTATTTAAAAGACTAGAACAAATATATTTTTTTCTTGATGATCTTTTTCAAATGTAAGCTTCATCTATCTGTACCAGCGTATACAATATTTATTCAGCGTATTTTTCTGTGTTTAGCGATGAGTTTGGAATGGGTGTATAGACAAACAGTTGTCAGTAGACTGACATGATTATGTTTTATACTTATTGTTTCGTTGCTAACCCATTTTTTTCATTAAAGTCCAATGAAACCAACCAACTATTGTACAATTTTTTAAATTTACAAATGCGATAACTTTACACGCTATAGAATATTCACTTATATTATAAAGATAACAGCGGATAATTAATAAAATTACTAAATTTATTTAATAGTTATTTAACTAATATAGTTATTACTACATAGTTTGTGCCCGCGACTTTATTCGCTTTATTCACACTGTAATCTGTAAAAGTTGTAGTGGTAAATTCAAAGGTTCAAAAATCACACAAATAAATAAATAGTGTATACATTACCAGATCTTAAACAGAATTATGACATACTAGCTTTCCGCCCGCAGCTTCGCCGCGTGGAGTTCGGTTATATCGCGTTTCCAAGAGAACCTTTCAAAAGTCTGGGATAAAAACTATCCTATGTTCTTTCTCAAGGTCAACTCTATCTCTGTACCGAATTTCATTAAAATCAGTTCAGTGGTTTAGGCGTGAAAGCGTAGCAGACAGACAGACAGACAGACAGACAGACAGACAGACAGAGTTACTTTCGCATTTATAATATTAGTAGGGATAACACTCAGTGTCAACTCAAATTCTATTAAAAAAAATTGTATTACCACTTCTAACACGCTTTACCATTGAAAGTCATAACTTTTTCGATACAAAATTTTAAGCAATCGTAAACAACATCGATCAACGTCTCTCAGTAAAGCATTTCAGAGGTAACAGTCACCCTGTCACAGTGGATGGATCGAGTTGCAATCGTAACGGGTATCAATGAAACGCGATTGTGATTGCTCTACCTTACTGATTGATGAATCGGATTTTTATAGTTCTTATAAAGTATTTTTGCATGTTTCTATCAAACAGTTTAGTGAGTAGTAGAAGACGTAAGCAGTTTATTTTAAAAGAGGGGGTTTCTTAAAATAATGATTTTTTTTTTCATAAAAACATTAATTTTCCTAATGTTTATATACTTTTTAGTAAAAGTAAGTTTCAAATTACCCCTATTTATTGCTTACCTTCACAAGATACTATGTCTTTGAAATATGTATTAAGATTAAAAAACCTAATTATCACGAATCGTTTAACGCGCTTTAATCTTTTTTTTGAATTTAACATTTATGTCAAACAGTCGAGCTTTAGTGTGCTTCAAATGCATATTCTGATGGCAAGGGGTTGATGTGAGACGTTCGTACAAGACTTGTAAGTGACGTATGAAAAATGTGGTGCCTTTAATGCAACTGAATATGAGGGCGCAAATGTGCAGACATATGACGCACCCAAATAGAAATAGGGTGACTTTGACATCACTTATGAATGTAAGATATATATAGTACTTGAAAATATCTTAACATCTTATAATATTACTAATAAAATTTAAACTTACTAATGGGAGATAGCCGATTGATAAATTAAAAACGTTCAAATTCCATAACCGCTATGTCCTGATACATTGCCGTAATAAATTCAACAACCGCTAACGTAAACATGCGTTCCTAAATCCAAAAGGAAAAGCCGGGGAGCTGGAAAAAAAATTACACTCGTTAGAGCGCGAGGAATTGGCGTTAATAAAAAAAAACTCGTAATTCGGAAACGAGGGCGCTGACAAACGAGCCGGCTGTCTAATGAGGCTACCTGTATAAAAAACCTATCTGCGGTGTTTTACCCACCAATTGTTATCATTGGAGATATCGTACAATATACGTCACTAATTGTCTCAGCCCCCGTTTTTATATTTATAAGTCGTTTAAGGAAGTAAATTAATGAAACGTCAGAGGAAGCTCACCCTTCATTTCCTTTTGAAACAAAAAGAAAGTATAATTCGATAAGAATTTATAGCAGCTATGACGAAAAGATTTATAGAACTCTTAATAATTATTGTTCTTTTTGTTCTGGGTTTATTTTGATAAACAACAAGTAACGTAGATATAGGAAGAAACTTAATAAAAATATATATAACTTTCAAAATCAGTATTAAATCAAACGAAATAATACGCAAATAGAACATGTTTTATATGTAATGTAAAATTGTAAATAAATTATGGGTCCGACGAGTGGCGAACCTGCGAATAATTTGCAAACCATATACACATATCGGGTACAAAACGACACCCGCAATTCTGTAATCTCCCAGTACGTTTCGGTTCCTATGGCATTGGTGACTAAGATGTTGCATTGCAATTATATAAAGGTTAAGGTTATTGTAGGCTAAGAAAATGTTTTTCCATTCTGTAACACTAATAACACATAAATCTTTTTATCTGATTTTTAATGCCGATCAGTCAAAAATTAAAACATTGCTTACGTTAAATTTTGTACATAGGAAAAATTTGGTGAAGGACATTTGACATGATATTTAAATATTATACAATACTTTATAGTAAAAATAACATGCAACATTTTAGTGGCACTATATACACGGGATGTTTAATTTGCAAACCGCAGAAAGGGATCGTTTTGTCCATTATATCTGAATTGGCACGTTTCGCACACCTATGATCTATGGATAAATGCAATTTTTGTTTGAAAAGATTTACTTGATATCCACCAGGCTTACTGTTTCAATCTTTGTCTGGATTATAGACTACAGAATGT